TGAGTCAATCAGAATTTTCAGTTCAGTACCTGCAATGATCCCTCACACGTAGGATGAACATGGTTCCCCCGCCGGGGAACAATTCACCATGTGCTCCCGGTGTGGTAGATCAACATCTTCTTCCCAAGACCCTGTAGGTATCGTAGCTGGTGTCTGGGCCATGACAACAGCTACATCCCGTTTCCCCACTGCTGCACAGGCTCCTCTCGCCCTGGAGAGAGGAATCTCACTCCTTGTTGTCTTGTTGAACCACCAGGTGGGGTGTCCTTCCGCCATCCCGGGCTCTGGCCCCTCGGCAAACTGGAACGATCAGCGTAAGGAGATGGAGAGCTTCTTCTTGATCCGGCATCCTGGTCGGTGCAGCGCTCTCGCCAATTTGGAGTAGTTGGCTGATGATGTGGGTTATACTTGGGACGCAGAGATTGGCAGCCCGGACCCCAACAGTGGCACCGACATGACTCCAGCCGGGGGGAGGAACAGTCGTTGCTCCTCTCTCGACCCTTCAGTCTCTCGTTCTCATATGACAGCCTTCGAAGGTCTTTTCTCATTTCCTTCATCTCCTCGGTTAGGTCTTCCACTACTCATTGCCAGCGAGGTTCCTCCAAAACAGAATGCACTAAGGCAGTTGCACTCTTACTGGGAGGAGCCCCCCCAACAGGATGGGGGTATTCACTCTTTAAAGTTTCACGTGCTATATCACAGCGGCCTGCAATGATTAAGGCTTCCTCCAAATCAGTCGCTCCCTGTTCCTGATGCTTAGCTCGGAGGCAGGGATCTAGTCCTGCCAGGAATCTGTGAAATTTTTCTTCCCTCTGAGCAGCTTGTCCATAATTAGGGAAAGCTTCATCCACCAGCTTCCCTACATCAGCTGCATAGACATTTAGACTTTCACCAGCGGCACAACGACGAGCAGCCAAGTTAGCTCTGAAATTGTCCAGAAAATGTCATTGTCTGAAGGCTTCCTGCAGCCGTTCCTTCACCGCGTTTTAGTCTGCTTGCACTGCCGCAGGTAAACTGTCCCACAGCAGGAATGCGGCTTTGGACAGTCTGGTGGGCAGTATTCAAGCCAGTTCATAGTCATATGCACTCTCGGCACCCGCTACTAGTGCTCTCACTGCCACTTCATATTGACGAGACCAGCAAGAGAAACTCTCCCCATCCTCTTCGGAGAACACCGGCGGAAGCTCAATGTTCACGCTGCTAGTGCGTGGTTTGTCCGGGCGGGAGATCGTGTACACCAGCAGGTCTTCATCATGTCCCCACATAATTCCTGGAGATTCAACCACTTCCTACCGGTAAATGTATCGTTGTACGTCCTATCTGCACTGGTGCAGCTATGCTAACCGCAAGTTAGCAGAGGCTAACTTCAACAAGCTAACGGACTCAGTTACCGTCACTGGAAAATAGCTGGACTTCGTCACTAAAACAATCCCACCGCTGCCACCAATGTAACCGAGCATTCCAGAAAGAGACGGGAGAAGATATAGGATTGTGGTTGCTCAAGAAAAGGTTGATAACCGTGAACTCTCAGGGTCACTTTATTTAACGGCACCATTAACAACTCCGCTCCAACTTCTGTTTTTTTCTCTCTTTTCAAACATCACATCCTGTCAGCATCACCTTCAGAATAGAAGTCCCACAAAAGTGGGTTACACATGCGTGGGTTTCCTCCGGGTACTCCGGTTTCCCCCACAGATCACAACATGCCCTATAGGCTATAAATTGTACGTCGCTTTGGATAAAAGCTTCTGCCAAATAAATAAACATAAACATCTTATAGATATGTGTTTCTACTCCTGCATTTTAAAAAACAACATTTGGTTTGTTAGTGGGAGGGGCAAACTTGAACTTCTACACCGGTTGAAAACAGATTTACAAATATTGTAAATAACTGTCGCAGCCTGCTGTAGCTAGCGCTGACAACAAGCTAACGCTAATATGAGCCAACCGATACTAAATAAGCCACGAAGTTAAAAGATCCACACTGTTGCACACAAGTTCAGTAACGTCAAAGCTCGGTCAGCATTAGCCCGTGGGTTTGTAGCTTCAGCTCCCTCAAACGAGGCCACACCGATGTTCATTCTCATTCTGGTTTTAGCTCTTTGCTTCACCTCCAAAGACATTACTCTCTTAATTTTATATCCAGGCTCTGCCATGATGCCAACAAAAAAAGCTAAATTCTTCTTCTATTTTTGCTTTCTTTGACAGTTTGGCAAACTGAAAAAGCTAACTGCTAGCCTTTATATTAGTTACCTGTACAGTAAACAGCCATTGCTCTAACCCTCCCACTGTCTTCATGGGTGACCCTAGGGATAAACCATCATTCCTGCTCAATGGTCAACTTTCCTGGCAGGGTCACCCATGAAGACAGTGGGAGGGTTAAAGCAGGTAGAGACCACCAGTGTGCCTACCCTAACCGCCAAACTGTTAAATGCCGTTTCAGGTCAGCAGAGGTCAACAGAGTGCCATCCAATGTGAATCCGCTCAGGTTTCCGGCTCAAAAACCGCTTAACCCAGTTTAAAAGCAATAGGTTAATGTCCATCCATCCATCCATCCATCCAGTAACGTGACAGAATTGTTCAAATTTACAATGTTTGCAGATGATACAAATTTAGTTTGTTCAGGTAAAGATGTAAAAGAACTTTTAAAGAAGGCCGAAAAACTGTGTACAAAAAGCTAAAAAGGGTATAAAAAGGAGATGTATCTCTGTAATGGGAGTAAAATTTTGGGATGGGGCTAAAATAGAATTTAAATTAGCAATTTCACTTTCAGTTTTTAAAATACTTATCAGTAAAATATTTTTGAAGAGTATTAATTTGATGTTGGTCGATGGGTTTGTGTTTTTATTTTGGGTTATTGGCACATTGAGGGAAATTGTAAAATTGATTTGTAAGTAGGTTAGGCAGTTCTATACGCTTTTGCTTCTGCCTAAACCTGTTCAGTTATGAGATACTAAAATAGATACTATATTCAAATATATGTATATATATATGTTTGTGGAGGAAGGGAAATATATGTATCTATTTGTATATGTTACTGTATACATTATTTTTATGACGACTGAATAAATTGATCATTCATTCATTCATTCATTCATTCATTTTCTTCCGCTTATTCGGAGTTGGGTCGCAGGGGCAGTAAACTAAGTCGAGAGGCCCAGACTTCCCTCTCCCCAGGTACTTGGGCCAGCTCCTCCGGGGGAATTCCAAGGCGTTCCCTGGCCAGGTGAGAGACATAGTCCCTCCACCGTGTCCTGGGTCTACCTTTAGGTCTCCTCCCGGTTGGACGTGCCTGGAAAACCTCACCAGGGAGGCGTACAGGAGGCATCCTGACCAGATGCCCGAGCCACCTTAACTGGCTCCTCTCGATGTGGAGGAGCAGCGAATCTACTCCGAGCCCCTCCCGGATGACCAAGCTTCTCACCCTATCTCTGAGAGCTCAGCCACCCTGCAGAGAAAACTCATTTTGGTCGCTTGTATCCGCGATCTCGTTCTTTTGGTCACTACCCAAAGATCATGACCATAGGTGAGGGTAGGAATGTAAATCGAGAGCTTTGTCGTCTGACTCAGCTCTCTCTTCAACATGACAGACCGGTACAACGCCCGCATCACTGCAGACGCAGCACCAATCCGCCTATCGATCTCACGCTCCAGATTTCCCTCACTCGTGAACAAGACCCCGAGATACTTAAACTTCTCCACTTGGGGCAGGACCTCATCCCTGACCCGGAGAAGGCATTCTACCCTTTTCCAATTCAAGACCAAGCATAATGTGTTAAAAACAATTTAGTGTTGCTTTAAAACAGCTTCAGTCTTTAAATTTTCACAAATGATAAATATAATAAATCAGACACTAGGGTGAAGGTCTATCAAACAAAGCTGCTGGAACTTCTCGCAGGAGGGTGGAGCTGCCTAAAGATGGCAGGAATACTCTTTGTCATGGACTGGCCAAGACTAGCATTCAGCTCGTTGATCCAAAACATGTAAAATTTTATCATTCTGCTCAGAGGCTGTAGATGAAAACATCTCCAGATAATAACAATAAGTATGTTTTACATATAAACAATTTTTCTAAATGTCTGAATCAAAAACTCTGAGACAAACAGATCTTTGTTTAATCTCACTCAACTGGAAGAAACACCAACAAGTGCATTTATTCCTTTTTATTTTTTGTCACCACTCAGTTTGTTAATATGTGGCTTTAAATATGTTGATATGAAAATGGTGAATAATATAATTAATATAGAAGGTATAAATGTAGCCTCTCTCAGCCTGTTGCTTTTACCTTTTGGGGTGAGGGTGGGGTGTCCGAGCATTAATTTCCTCCTGTCATTCAAATCTTAAAAGGAGGTTATAATTGTTCCGTTTTTTTTTTTCTAATTAGACTGTCATTCACTTTCATATTTAGCATGCTAACTGAGGCCTGTCGAGTCTTTCTAACAACATTTGATTTTTACACAATCTGACCCTTAGGTAACTACTTAAAATATGCACTCCAACAGAAAGAAAGCTGCTTGCTGGTTAAATGCTCCAAATTGCAAATAAGAAGAAAAAAAAACGTATTATTTCATTTCAAGGCTTTTAATACTGTGCTTTGTTTCTGCTTTTTCCAACCATGTAGAAGTTTTAAGTTGGAGGGGGGCATTGAGTCTTTCACCAGTAACACACAACTTTAGATACAGCAATCATCTAGATTTGGAGGTACCATCCGCATGTTTTCAGCGTTCTCACATCAAACTGTAGTGCCTTGCAGCTCAGTTTGTTCTTTTATTCTGCAGGAACGCATCAGGATGTGTAAAACATTCGTCAATAAGGAAATAAAACTGGGACACTCAATAAGGGAAAATTTGCTCCTAAAAACCTAAGTTATTTATCTGTGATTTATTTTCTGAGAGCAGACACAACCCAAAATATATCTGTATCACCTCAGTGTTGTAACACAATTATTGTTATTGCAGACAAAAATCTATTTACTTTGTGGTTTTCTAAAAACTCCCCAGGTGTCGACCAATGGGGAGATATCGATCATCTCCGGAGCCCCAACGGACTGCGACTGTAAGATAGACCCCAACTGTGACTGTTTCTCTGGTGGGTCATCAAACACACAACCCGCACACACACATGTTGCATGAGTGCAGGATTAAGTACTGCGAGAGTATTAGATTATGTCTAATAGGATTACAGTACTCAAAAACAGATAGCAGCATTTAGAAATTGATTCTGATAAAATCTTGCTGGGTCTGCTTTGGAGGAGATTGGAGAGAAAACAAAATCAGGACCATTTTAAAAGCTGACATGATTTGATATAGACACATTTGGGCCATTCCCATCTGCACCTGGTCGGCCCTGCCCGGATAGATCCAGTCGGCCCCAGCCTGGCCCGGTTGATTCCGCACATCCTCGCTTAGGCATGCAAGGAATGCAGTCAGAGACATTTTCAGCTTCTAGGTAATCAGCATGATAATGAATTGAGCATGCCTTAAGCCCGTGTGGGTGGATTCTACCCACCAATCAGAGGCTTGCTCTAATGGAAGGTGTGAATTTGCTGGGTGTGTTGGCCCTGGTCAGCCTGAAGCAGACCCCCTCAGAAAGAGGGCTGAAAAACAGTCTTGTTGCACCCTGAAAAAAAGGCAGGCCACCAAGATATGTAAGCAAGCTATCTGGGCCGGGCCGACCAGGTACAGATGGGAATGGCCCATAAGCTGTCCGTGGGCCCGAGCTGTCCAATAAAGTTATTAACAAGTGCTCAAGAGCAAGTTTTCCTCTCGTCCGTCTCCTGCGATGCATCCCTCGTTACTTTCAGCTTGTCTGAATGATAAACGTCGCCCGGATATTTGGCGTCTTGCGTGAACTGCTTTGACTTTTATTAAAAAGACTTGATGGTGAGGTTTATGTAAATGATGGAAACATACAGGATCCTCTATATTGGTGCAATGTTTAGAGGTGTGGTGTGAATTAGGGTTAGGGTTAGGGTTAGGGTTAGGGTTAGGGTTAGGACAATCCAGTCACTGAAAGGAACGGTCTTCACAATGAGCGTGAGATGAGTGTGTGTGTGTGTGTGTGTGTGTGTGTGTGTGTGTGTGTGTGTGTGTGTGTGTGTGTTTTTTTTTGTATTCACGGGGAAGCTTCCAGCTAAATATCAGTGGGAACGAACTTGTGAGAACCCTTTCAAACCTTTTCAAATTACAGCTGCCGGAAGAAAAAGCTCAACTTTCCAGTGATGAATGTTTTAACTGGTTGCTGCGTCACTGAAGGGCACCTAAAACGGGATGAAGTGATGACGGAAACAAACAACCAGATGTTCCTTTGACAGTTAGGCCATGCTTTCATTGTAAGGATGTGATTTTATCATTTAATTCTGCTCATAGAAATCTCTATTTTATTCCACTGAAAATCGGAGGGAAGTGTCTCTGCCACGCCACAAGCCAATGGGCTGTAACCATCCACTATTTCTTGGATTGTACTTTGCATATTTTCAATCATGTCTTGCTGTTAACAGATGATTACTCTCTTCAGAGGCTTTTCCGTTCCCATCCCCTCACCATAAACACGCGCGCTGTGTCTTTGAACACGTATATCAGCGCGCACCGGCAAACACAAAAGGACATTTGCCCAGAAGCACACATACAGACACACACACACATAATGGGCATGTTGTCAGGAGATAAACTGCCACCCTGCTGTCTGTTCAGAGCCATCAGAGGCCCCCGGCTCTGCTGCTGACAGCATCTAAAGGCCCTCACCGAGGCTGCCGCCCCACTGCGCCACCAAAGAAATGATTTCAGCCACCTGATACTTCCGTCTGATAAGGACGAGGTCACTATCAAGGTGGTCATCATACCCACGGCTTTTGGAATCAACTGTATCCCAACAAGCCCGAGTCCTGAGGCAAACAGATAACGCCTGAGCGCCACTGGGGGGGTCTTCATGTTATGACCCAGTTGTGTATACCGTTGTGACTTCTGTCTTTTCTCCAAACATGATGCGTATTACTCCCAAGGTTTTGTTGTGCTTTTGTGTCAACAAGGAGCTGGCAGAAATGATTTTGTATTTGTTGGTGTTCCATCAGGAGACGGAGGCTATGCTCGCGACGCTCGTCTCAAAGCCCCCTCCGCGCTGGCCGTGGCCCCCAACGGCACCCTGTACATAGCTGATCTGGGCAACATTAGGATCAGAGCCGTCAGTCCCAACCAGCCTCAGCCTAGCCAAGCCGGGCTGGTGGAGATCAGCTCGCCGCAGGACCAGGAGCTCTATCTCTTCAGCCAGGTAACCGGCGCCGACAACTCGTAGCTGCTTCTGTAAGGTCTGCGGGCTGGAGAACGGCTTCTCCGTAAAGGTCAAAATAGATGCATGTTGCTGTGTGTCCAGCTGTGCAGATGCCTTTACATGTAACCATTGTCAAACATGGGTTTGTTATTGGCCCTTCAAATTTAGTCAACTTAGAGGTGACTTATTAACTTGTGGTTTTAATTAAAAAACAACTCTTAAGGGGTACCTGGGATTGTCATCGGTGAGGGTGTTATGGGTACCTGCTGTTTACCTGGTTTGCTCCAGTCTTGAACCCTGGATTACCCTTAAAACAAAAACATACACTGTTTATTGTAATGCTTTCTGCATGTTATACACTGGCTGATCTGATCAGAATGTTCTGGTTCCCAAACTTCTCACACGTTTATCGAGAGGACACCTGAGCTAATAGTTTATGTTTTCTAATAACAAAGTTAGCAGAGGTGGGGACTCATCTCACATGACTTGGATTCAATTTGCATCTCGGATAACTTTAGACTTCACTGAATGACAAAAAAAAGGACCTTCCTCACACTCTCAACACCGAGGACTCATGCGAGGGCGAGATAAGCCCTACATAAACACATAGTGGTATGGAGCCACTGAAATAAGTCAGTTCAACCACTAATCAAATGGAATTTGTGCTAGATTAATGGTGGATCAGTGGCCTAGTGGTAGAGTGTCTGCCCTGAGACTGGGAGGTCAGGGTTCAATTCCTGGTCGGGTCATACCAAAGACTGAAAAAATGGGACCCAGTGCCTCCCTGCTTGACACTCAGCATTAAGGGTTGGATTGGGGGGTTAAACCACCAAATGGTTCCCGAGTGCGGCCGTGTCTGCAGCTCACCGCTCCCCCAGGGGATGGGTCAAATGCGGAGAACAAATTTCGCACACACATCAGTGTGTGTGACAACTAACGGGACTTTAACATTAGATCAAAGCTGGTAAGAGTTACTTCATTAGGTTTTTAACGGTGTGGCTTGCTTGTTTATTCAGTACATTTGCAGTGTTCTCTTGTCTAAATCAATGCCTCATGAGTCATTTTAAAAAAGGTATGATGCTCCTGTTCCGAGATGCAGATGCCTGCTGATGCAGAGGTGGGCTGAAAACAGCTGGACTGCTCAATATTATTAATGAAATACACACACCTCGCTTCTGATTGGCTAACAGAACACGTTCGGGGTTGTTTCAAGTCGCTTTCACCCACACACCCTCCACTTTCTCTCCTCGTTACAAAAAACAAGTTTTCTTGTGGCCGGGCATGAGCCAAGATGGGCGAGGTTATGAATGCAAATTGACATTGTGACATCACAATGTGGGGATTTTGAAATCCTAGCATGTTATCATCTAGTTTTGATCATGAGCAAACGCAGGAGATCGATGTAGGAGACTGTTTTCATGTTCAGCTTGCATAAAAAAATCTGAGTGACCAATTCTAATCAGAAATAATCATTTAAATGTTTTTATTTTTTTATTTATTTATTTTTTCTATCAACCACACCGTTTAAAGAGGTAGGGGCAAAACATTCAGGCATAGATATTGGTGGGGACTCGTCCCTGGTGTCCACAGCTAAAATGATGCAAACGGAGTCCTTATAGTTGTTATTTTTCCACAGGATGAAGGAAAAAATAAACATTCTTTACTGAAAGATGCAACCCCAGAACTAATTTGTTTCTCAGTGAGTGGAGATGCTTCTGTTGCTTGTTTTGTAGAAGCAAAAATGACAAAATATTTATTAGTAATGAAAGTTAGTTTTATTAGGCCTATGGTTTAGGACTTGCGTCTGTGCTTGTCTCTAATTTAACTAAAATCTTGTGACCTGGGTCCTCCTCTAGAGGTGAGCCTGACAGGGACTCATAAAGAGATGACTTGGATCTTTAGAAGCAGGTTTTGGTGGAAAGGTTATGAACAAAATAGTATCTATAATCTCTTTCATCTAATTATTAATTGGTTAATTTTATTGATCTAATTAATTAATCTTTCAGTTTTCAGCTATCAGCACTTTATTTTTAATGTATTTATTTTGTTATCACTAATATCCTGGAAGAAGAAACACATCTTCCTCCGGTTTGTGCTGTAAAAACCTGCGACTGGCAGTGGACTAGTTTATAAAGTCTTGTTAGAATAAACAACTATGACATTTTTGAGATTAGAGGTCTTTTAAATGCAGCAATCTTCTCCCCCCTGTAACTAAACCATCAGTCTCATCTAAACAATCCTGTTTCTCTAAATGAAGGACATCCAAAGAGCTCTGGACAACAAATAAGATATCCAGCTTTTTGTTTTCCCACCATAAACCTGCCTTATCCAGTCCCACTCATGCCTACTGCCCTCTGGTGGAGCATCAGGTGTGATGTGCCAATTTTATTTCTTTATGACATCATAGTTATGTAATAAAAATGCCCGTTATATTAACATAAGACAATAAATAGTTCACTCTTAAATACTAGATATTTTATAATATAGAATATTTTTACAGTTGTGTGCTCCAGCTCTCTTATCCTTGCACTTTTGTTTTGTGGTCTAGCTTTTTTCTATTAAATAAGAATAATTGTAGTAAAAATATATATTTTTAAATGTGACATTCCTTTAGTTACATGTATTGACATAGTCTGATGTTGCGGTTTATGATATTAAATAATTACTGCTAGGTTTGCTTGATTCGGTGAGTTAAAACACGTGTGTGATCACATGATGCAGGAAGCACCAAATGGTCAGATTTACTTGTTGTAACAGCGCAGCTCTTCCCTCTGATGTCATGGTTACGAGGACCTGAAAGGCCTTTAAGCATGACTCTGCTGTCTCTCTTCTCTGTTCTCTGACAGAATGGCTCCCACATGAGCACCAAGCACCTCATCACCGGTCACTACCTGTATAACTTCTCCTACGGAGTGGACGGCCAGCTCTCCGGGGTCACGTGTCGCGACGGCCGCGGCCTCCAGGTGAGGAGGGACGCTCACGGCGTGCCCCTCTGGCTAGCGCTACCTGGAGGACAGGTGTACTGGCTGTCCCTGAGCAACAGCGGCATGCTGAGGAAGGTGTCAGCTCAAGGCCATGACATTGGCCACATCACTTACCACGGCAACACTGGTCTCCTAGCGACCAAAAGTGACGAGAACAGCTGGACCACTGTTTATGAGTACGTCTGTCTTACAGCGCCTTGTTTGGCTTTCATCTTCATTTCTCTCCTTCAGGTTTCTTTGTTTTTTGTTTTTTTCATCTCTGTTTTCCTGCTGTAGTTGTTTGCATGCTGTTGAGCAAGCGGAGTGACGTGTGAGTGCCATCTAGTGGTGACTTCTGCAGCACCTGCTCTGTAGAATAATCATGGGACTTGTTTTTTTACATGATGTCTACTCTGGTGTGACTGCATGGTATCGATGCAACACTTTAACCACATATATGTTTGTACATACAGTGCACACACACACACGCACACAACCGTATGTGTGTGTGTGTGTG